AAAATCATACTTCTTTTCAAAACATCTAGTGTGACAATGTTTCCCTTCATCGATTCAATTTTTTCACTGAATTGTTAAACAAAAACAATAAAAAAAAATCCACCAAAAACACCCCAATAAGAATAACTTCATGAGGCGTTGCTTTTGACGTTACTGCATTATGACATCACCCTACTATACCGCCGTCAGCCAAAAAAGCTCTCTTCTGTCTAGCAAAAAACACCTATTCAAAACTGTGGAATACAGCGAATCTTTTACTAACAATGGCATTATATACACAATCGTACGAAAGCATTTTAAGGCTATGACAAATATTTACATTTGGTGAAACCTGTTTAGACCACAACCACAGGAACAAATATATGCGTTTAGAATACACAGGTTTTTTGATTAAACAGGTTTATTTACATGTAAACATTCATAAGAAGGATCCTATGCAGACGTTTTGTTCACTATATATCAATTATATTGATGTTAAATATCAAATATCTGAGAAATCGTTTTTTAAATAAAGATCTAAAATACCAAGTTGATGCAAACACATTTTATGATTGATGTATAAATCAAATGTAAACTGCAAAATTTGTGAAATGGAGAATATGACAAAAACGTCTAATTGCTTATAAGGGAATAAATATTAGGCAGTAATATCAGAAATGAGGTTCACTCACCGTCTCAAAGTCAAAGGTCAGGCTGTTATATAGTTAATACCGGTGTAACTATGGGATAAACAGTAAGTAGGTACTGGTATAAGTATAGACTACACAGGTAGTATATACTGGTTAATGTATCTACTAGACAGGTAGTATATACTGGTAAATATATCTTCTACACAGGTAAGGGCCAAAGAAGTAATACAGACGGTAAAATCTCATATAACACTAGATCCTAAATTGAGGTACAGGTAATATATACTGGTAAATGTATCTACTACACAGTTAGTTGGGCAAAGAAGTAATTCCAACAGTGTGGACAAGTTTAGGTTGTCAAATTTTCGGAGCGATCCGCTCCTTTTTCAAGACACGGTGAAACAGAACAGTTACATGTACATATACATCATATTACAGGAAGATAGAACTGATATATTATGATTGAAAATATAGCTATTATATAAAGCCAATAGTCCCCTCGGCTAAAGACAGCCGAAGGCAGCAATTAAGCTGAGAGCATCGCGGACAGGGAACGCTGATGTAGAGGACCTATTCTTGCGCAAGATGCACTATCACATAAAGTAAGTCAACGAGAGATAGCACCAGAAAGAAGGGACGATAAATCAAAAACGTGGAACTGGGGATGTGGGAATCTGGCCCGGTAAATGCGAAAAATCTCAATTTCGTAGGGAATGTCTCATCAGTCGCCTCTCAATTCTGCGGTGGATCTAACAGTCACAGTGTATATGTACATGTAACTGTTCTGTTTCACCGTGTCTTGAAAAAGGAGCGGATCGCTCCGAAAATTTGACAACCTAAACTTGTCCACACTGTTGGAATTACTTCTATGCCCCATATACTATTTTCAGTAATTCGTATCCTACGGACATACATTCTGTACCTCCATTAGGATCCAGTGTTATATGGGATTTTACCGTCTATATTACTTCTTTGACCCACTACACAGTTAGTATATACTGGTTAATGTATCTACTACACAGGTAATATATACTGGTTAATGTATCTACTACAAAGGTAATATATACTGGTTACTGTATCTACTATACAGTTAGTATATACTGGTTAATGTATCTACTACACAGGTAATATGTACTGGTTAATGTATCTACTACACAGGTAGTATATACTGATTAATGTATCTACTACACAGGTAGTATATACTGGTTAATGTATCTACTACACAGGTATATGTACTGGTTAATGTATCTACTACACAGGTAGTATATACCGGTTAATGTATCTACTACACAGGTAGTATATACTGGGTAATGTATCTACTACACAGGTAGTATATACTGATTAATGTATCTACTACACAGGTAGTATATACTGGTTGATGTATCTACTACACAGGTAGTATATACTGGTTGATGTATCTACTACACAGGTAGTATATACTGGTTGATGTATCTACTACACAGGTATTATATACTGGTTAATGTATCTACTACACAGGTATATGTACTGGTTAATGTATCTACTACACAGGTAGTATATACTGATTAATGTATCTACTACACAGGTAGTATATACTGGTTGATGTATCTACTACACAGGTAGTATATACTGGTTAATGTATCTACTATACAGTTACTATATACTGGTTAATGTATCTACTATACAGTTACTATATACTGGTTAATCTATCTACTATACAGTTAGTATATACTGGTTAATGTATCTACTACAAAGGTAATATATACTGGTTACTGTATCTACTATACAGATAGTATATACTGGTTAATGTATCTACTACACAGGTAGTATATACCGGTTAATGTATCTACTACACAGGTAGTATATACTGATTAATGTATCTACTACACAGGTAGTATATACTGGTTGATGTATCTACTACACAGGTAGTATATACTGGTTGATGTATCTACTACACAGGTAGTATATACTGGTTGATGTATCTACTACACAGGTAGTATATACTGGTTAATGTATCTACTACACAGGTACTAAACAGGTTGTATATACAGGTTAATGAATATTTTTACACAGGTAGTATATGCTGGTTAATGTATCTACTAAACAGGAAGTAGATACTGGTATAAGTATAGACTTAACCGATAAAAGATACTGGTATGACTTTAGATATTTGAGATAAAAAACTGACAAAATAAACAAGAACACTTTTAGCGTCATGTATACCATTTAAATTTAAATCTCAATTGATAAAGCAGCAGATTTGAACAATTGTTTTCGTCCTATTTGTATGATAAAGTCAGTATATATATCCCCTCAAGACAGACATGTCATGGCTTTCACGACCTCTCACTCTCCCCAATATCAAATCAATGACAAGGTCAATCATAAGTGTCCCACAAGTACTAATGGAAAGAAAAATATTTTGTTCGTCTGTCCATAAACCATTACCAACTAATGTAGGACCCTAATATATAGATTTGTGGATTTGTCTTTATGCCCTCTACCTGGGGACACAAAAGCGACATAAGCATATTTCCAACGGGACATACCAAAGACCTTGAACGTGGTCGTTGTTATTCCCTGTTAAATGTTCAGCATTTACAGTAATCACAGTAACTGGATAACCTATTGTCAGTATAATGAGATCAAGTGGAATACTATGCTAGGTGTCTTATGCATGGCATTTTAATGAGCCAGTCAGAGGCCAAAAGGCAGAAATTACCAATCGAGGCGTTAGGGAATAACAAAAGTACTTAGAAATGAGAGAAAAAAAATAATCCAAAATGTTGCAATGGGCTATAATACGATCAAGTGGAATACTGTGCTGGGTGCCTTCAGCATGTTTCTAGTGTAGTAGCAAAAAGCTACGAGTTTCCAAGATAATAAACAACAAATCACGTTGAAATGGGCGTAGATGATTAATATGGTGGCCTTATGCGTCCCAATGTAAAGGGCACAGAAGCAAATCCCGAATTATTCAAGGGATTCCCACGGTAGTCGCATTTAAAATTTGTTAATGACATTTACCAAGACAGTTATAATACAGTCAAACCTCTTTAAATCGAAATTCGAAGATTCGAATTTCTCAATGTGTCGAACTTACGGCAAAGTCCGGATATTTTTCCTGATATAACTTTTCTAATGTTTCATTCATGAATCGAAATTTTATGAGTGGAATTTATCGCTGTTTCGAAGTATAAGTAAGGCCCATTCGTTATGAAAAACAGTCGAAATTACAACTAATAAATCGAAGTAAAAAATGTACCTGTTCGAGATCAATGAAATGTCCCGCGGTCATTTTAACACCTTCACGGTTATGTTTTGGTCTCCAGTGAACAGTACTGCCGACCATGCTGACACAACCTGGTATTAATTATTTCCAGGTAATAAAATGACACTGATTAATTCAGTATTGTTTTCTTAAAAACAGCAGTGTGAAGTATTTATGACGCAAAGTGATAATTAATATAGTGTTGATCAGTCCGTAAGATACATTCATCGGAAGTACTTTTCAATCGTAAACATAAGCTTATGTCAACGAAAATGGATTACTAAAATGGCCCATTTCACGAAATTCAGGACCATGGGACAATGAGCTGTATGTTAACTGGTTTATGATATTATTAACTTAATTGTGTGTTTTTAATAAAATCGAGTGTCATACACGAAAACAAACGACCAACGAAAATCACTCTCAGCAACTTGGCGCACGTGATGGACCACACCAACACTGGGTACAAAATTCGAAACACCTGATTTTAGTTACAAATTGTTCTAGGTAGGGAAGATTTACATGGTACAGTAAAATAGAATGGTGTGACTGGCACTTAATTACTTCATGAGGTTGAAAATTATCTCTGACTTTTGTTAAAGACACTGATTGTGTGTTACATATTGTAACGGATGGGAATCCGACAGACACTCCTGCCTTTATTTCAGATACCTCCACAATGTTCAACAAAGGGTATTTCCGTAACAAAAACGATATTTGAAATGTGGCGGCCGTAAACCCGGCAATCACGAATAAAGTCCACATGATTTTCCTCGTTGTTTTTGGTGATGTTGCAATTTTTGACAGTCCATGGACATTGCTTTTCGATCCATGTTCTCCTATAATAGTTCTGAATTATTCGCAATTTTAACTAGGTCTTTGTACTGTAACAGCAGCAAAACGACATCACGCAAACTGGAGAACAGTAATTTAACAGAAGAAACACACAGGAACAATTTGTAACCAATACAACAAAAGCAAGAATATTGCACTGTAGAATATATTTCATAATGTATTCGTCTGTAAAATTGCAAGTTACTCTTATCAATTGTGTAATACATCTTTTATTCAAATTAGGGGATGACGGGGCAGGGTTGAGGAGGAGCCGGTAAAGGAAAAACATGGAGGAAGGTTGGTGGTGTAAAGGATTTTGAAATGGTGGAAATAAGGGTTGTCCAACGTCAGGTAAGCATCTTATATCCTCATATGATCTAGTAACCATCTCTCCATAATCATTCTTTAAATATTTGGAAAACCTGATGTAATTGTAGTGTTGAAATATATTGCTGACCCACCAGTGAAATATATTGCTGACCCACCAGTGAAATATATTGCTGACCCACCAGTGAAATATATTGCTGACCCACCAGTGAAATATATTGCTGACCCACCAGTGAAATATATTGCTGACCCACCAGTGAAATATATTGCTGACCCACCAGTGAAATATATTGCTGACCCACCAGTGAAATATATTGCTGACCCACCAGTGAAATATATTGCTGACCCACCAGTGAAATATATTGCTGACCCACCAGTGAAATATATTGCTGACCCACCAGTGAAATATATTGCTGACCCACCAGTGAAATATATTGCTGACCCACCAGTGAAATATATTGCTGACCCACCAGTGAAATATATTGCTGACCCACCAGTGAAATATATTGCTGACCCACCAGTGAAATATATTGCTGACCCACCAGTGAAATATATTGCTGACCCACCAGTGAAATATATTGCTGACCCACCAGTGAAATATATTGCTGACCCACCAGTGAAATATATTGCTGACCCACCAGTGAAATATATTGCTGACCCACCAGTGAAATATATTGCTGACCCACCAGTGAAATATATTGCTGACCCACCAGTGAAATATATTGCTGACCCACCAGTGAAATATATTGCTGACCCACCAGTGAAATATATTGCTGACCCACCAGTGAAATATATTGCTGACCCACCAGTGAAATATATTGCTGACCCACCAGTGAAATATATTGCTGACCCACCAGTGAAATATATTGCTGACCCACCAGTGAAATATATTGCTGACCCACCAGTGACATATATTGCTGACCCACCAGTGAAATATATTGCTGAACCACCAGTGACATATATTGCTGACCCACCAGTGAAATGTATTGCTGGCCCACCAGTGAAATATATTGCTGACCGACAAGTGAAATATATTGCTGACCCACCAGTGAAAAATATTGCTGACCCACCAGTGACATATAGTGCTGACCCACCAGTGAAATGTATTGCTGACCCACCAGTGAAATGTATTGCTGACTCACCAGTGAAATGTATTGCTGACCCACCATTGACATATATTTCTGACCCACCAGTGACATATATTGCTGACCCACCAGTGAAATGTATTGCTGACCACCAGTGAAATATATTGCTGACCCACCAGTGAAATACATTGCTGACCCACCAGTGAAAAATATTGCTGACCCACCAGTGACATATAGTGCTGACCCACCAGTGAAATGTATTGCTGACCCACCAGTGAAATGTATTGCTGACTCACCAGTGAAATGTATTGCTGACCCACCATTGACATATATTTCTGACCCACCAGTGACATATATTGCTGACCCACCAGTGAAATGTATTGCTGACCCACCAGTGAAATATATTGCTGACCCACCAGTGACACATTTTGCTGACCCACCAGTGACATATATTGCTGACCCACCAGTGACCTATATTGCTGACCCACCAGTGAAATATATTGCTGACCCAACAGTGACATTTATTTCTGACCCACCAGTGACACATATTGCTGACCCACCAGTGACACATATTGCTGACCCACCAGTGAAATATATTGCTGACCCACCAGTGACACATTTTTCTGACCCACCAGTGACATATATTGCTGACCCACCAGTGACACATTTTGCTGACCCACCAGTGACATATATTGCTGACCCACCAGTGACATATATTGCTGCCCCACCAGTGAAATGTATTGCTGACCCACCAGTGAAATGTATTGCTGACACACCAGTGAAATATATTGCTGACCCACCAGTGACATATATTGCTGCCCCACCAGTGAAATGTATTGCTGACCCACCAGTGACAAATATTGCTGACCCACCAGTGAAATGTATTGCTGCCCCACCAGTGACATATATTGCTGACCCACCAGTGACCCATATTGCTGACCCACCAGTGACACATATTGCTGACCCACCAGTGACATACATTGCTGACCAACCAGTGACATACATTGCTGACCCACCAGTGAAAAATATTGCTGACCCATCAGTGACATACATTGCTGACCCACCAGTGACATATATTGCTGACCCACCAGTGACATACATTGCTGACCCACCAGTTGAATGTTGATTTTTCAACAATATTGTTTGTTTGCTGTGACATACCGTGCAGAAATTCACCAAGCCTTGCACACAACAATATCATAATATATGAAATTATATAAAAAGTAATAATCTTTAATTGATCAACCTTTATTGTTTTCGAGATGGGATATTTGCATAATGGTCCACTCTACAGATAGAATACGGGTTAAAGACCATTCCAAATGACAGTACGCCTCATGTTCTTCAAATGTTACACATCTATCAAAATATTACCATAATCACAATTTTCTTAATACCAAACGAATTTCTCAACTGTGAGTTTTAGATCAAATAAATTTGTACCGAATACATTTTTAAATGATAGCCGACAGACCGTAGAGGGGAGTGTTTACACACAAGTTATTTTGCGACTAGGTTTGTCACATTGAAGCTAAGCTATCACGAAGAAAACTACATAGATTCCTGGTTTAACAAAAAAAAAACTACATAGATTCCTGGTTTAACGAAGAAAACTACATAGAATCCTGGTTTAACGAAGAACCAGTAAGTTTATAATGAGGAATACTGACATTCCAAATGTAATAAAGCCATTTCACTTACACCTTGTATTTACAGGGTTACATACGCATTCTTGTATCGTGTAGGGTTGAGAATATCCAGCCTTTAATAATGTACACATGGACGAAATGGTAACATTGCGAAAAATGTAAAATTAACTCTTCATGGCTTTCTGCATGTATTAAATAAATGTTTATATGTGCTTTTTTACTCCGCATTTCTATAAACTTACGCATGCAGAACACTTACCAAATTGGTACTTCTTCCTGGTCAAGGAAGTGTCTAACAACATTTGATGCGGGAATATTATCAAATGATCTTTGGAAGCAATTGGATTCGATGTTAACTGTTCTGATCCACTCAAGGTTTTTAGTATATGCTTCTAAGAATACGTGGACGTGAGTTTAAAAAGTCTTTTCGTGTCCTCTTGAATTCCAACATCGGTTTGCTGGTCCTTGAAAATCATTGACGTTTGTAGGATTCTCACTTGGTGAAATCTCATCATAGCTAGTGTTTATTCCAACTCAAATGCAGTGGTCCACTGCTGTTTTTTTTGTTTTGAGTGCCATATTTATACCGAAAGAATATCCCAACCACAATGTCAGAAATGTTATATGGAATACAATGTTAGACAGTTCGTATGTTGCTGTATTGAAGAAACCGTTCAATTAAACCGGAATCCTTCTTTTTCTGTCAAGTCAACGGTAACATTTCTAAATAGCAAACACTTCACGCCTGAACGAATGCAAACAAGTAACTGACAAAAGGATTGATAACACATTATGCTTCCACAAAATATTAATCAGTGTGACCTTTAGTAATTGTTCCATGCCACAAAATAGAGTTTAATATTTCGTCATATGAAATGATACTACTCATTTCACTCCGCTTGATTTTATCAATGACATTTCGTTCTAATGAAATAGGTGTAGTACTGTTCGCTAAGTAATTCTGTCTGTGTATATAAACCTAACCAGCGTTACTAACATTTAGGCAAATACATGACTGAAAGAGCAATAACGCCTGGTGTTTTGTTAATGTAATGAATATTTCATGTGTTAAAAATGCGTAATACATTTGTCAGCATATTTCTAAATAACTAAAAAAAAATAAAAAAAAAATTCATCGGCCTATTCTTCCTTCTTCCTTCTTCCTGTTTAAATATTGTCCATTCATACAGTTTACAACGTTTAAAAGAAAAAATCAATTATATCCAGTAAGGAAATGCATGAAATTAAAGGTGTGCTGTTTTGAATATTTTATTTATCATATTATATACAAGGACATTTCCAATGTGCTTTTTCATGCTAACACTAACTTCCCCTTACTTTTATTTTGTATATAACTAGCTAGGACAAGGACAGTGAACTATTGCTGATCCCGTAGCTCAGCTAGTTACAACGACCGCTTTGCGATCGGAGGTCCGGAGTTCCAGTCCCTAGCCTCGTATTTTTGTTTGCTCATTTCATCTTTATTATTTCTTTAAAAAAAATCAGCAAAGTATGAGTTTTTTTCAGAAATCTTTCATTGATGATATTGTCATTTTGTTTAGAAAATTATTCTTATTAGTAAATACAATTTGTGACTGTGGTACGGGGATTCAGGCACTTCCCTGGATCGGACGGGTTGTCAAATTCAATGTATGGTGAATATGCCATATGGTTTTTTTTTAAACTAGAGTTAAAATTCCATTTATTTCGATTTCGTTTTGAGTCATCCTGTTCTCACATGACCCTATCTGTTGTTATGTTCTCACATGACCCTATCTGTTGTTATTTTCTCACATGACCCTATCTGTTGTTATGTTCTCAAATGACCCTATCTGTTGTTATTTTCTCACATGACCATATCTGTTGTTATATTCTCACATGACCCTATCTGTTATGTTCTCACATGACCCTTTCTGTTGTTATGTTCTCACATGACCCTTTCTGTTGTTATGTTCTCACATGACCATATCTGTTGTTAGGGCGTTTGACACCGACGATCAAAAATAAGATGTATGAGCAATGAACACAAAGCTATATAAAAGCAATGTTGCTACTTTTTTTAATTCACAATTTTTGCAATGATTATATCCCTTATATTGACGCAGTGTTGTTAGATAAACGTGGCAGATATGAGCTTGGCATTTAAAATAAATAATAAATAATAAGCACTGAACACAGAACATCTATCCAATACTAACACATATTATATGGTCATAGTGTTATCGAAAGTTATCTCGCTTTAGCTTTTAATGCCAGACAATGACGTTATAAAATAGATCAGTGAAACTTAAAAGATATAACAAGTGCCTGCTAAGTCCAATACAGCAGATATATAATAAGTAAGAATGTTGTAAGATATATTACATGTATGATTATTTCCGACTAGGACTATATTTTAAATGTGAATCGAATGAATATATTTACATTTGCATGGCATTATCACTATATAGCCTCTTTGAAAGCTGTGTCGTTGATGGGACTTTAATTACCATGCATCACGAGACACAATTCTTAACGTATTAATACAACACTGACCGGAACTACAATATCCAATATAAATAAACATGACGGGTGCTGAAATATCGCTGGGCATTGTGAGATTTGACAATGTCATTGTAAATTTATTTGCAAAATAAAATAAAATAAAAAACACTTTTATTACAACGAAAACAAGACCAAGGTCTGCAATATCGTACAAAATGCACATCGGTTGAAATCACCAATGCCGGCAATGGAAACAATTTTAACGCTCATGCAATTTATCAGAAATATCGTCTGTTACACTGCACTGATCAACAGGGGTTCGT